GAGCTGGTCACTAAATATAGGCCTGTTAGTTTACTCTCCGTGATCCTAAAAGTCATGGAAAGATTATTCAGAGATAAGATGGCCAGCTACCTCACCCAATGCGGCCTGCTGGCGGAGGCTCAGCACGGGTTTCGACAAGACCGTTCGTGCCTCACAAACCTGCTAGCCTTCCTGGGTGCCATGACTGAGCGGCCAGACAGAGGGGGGGGAGTCGAAGTCTGCTATCTAGACTTCAGTACGGCTTTTGATTCAGTACACCATCGGCTGCTGTTAGCCAAGCTAGGATCGATAGGGATCCACCCTAGTTTAGTCAGGTGGATCGAGAGCTACCTGACANCGTACGGGTGGAGGAGGATTGGTCGGAATGCGGGCACACTTATAGCGGGGTCCCACAAGGCTCGGTGCTTGGACCATTGTTGTTTCTGGTCATTATTAATGATCTAGTCCCCCGTCTATCGAACTCGACGTTCATCTTTGCAGACGACGTTAAATTACTTGGTTCGCATCAGGGTGTAGACCTCCAGCTTGACCTATATGCAGTACAAGCATGATCTGCAGAGTGGGTCTCCCTTTAAATGCAACAAAGTGTAATATCCTACGAACCGCGAGTGTTCAGGGTTTTGGGCCACGCCACATGGGAGCTTGCGACGTGGATGCTATGGCAGTTGTGCCAGAGATCAGGGACCTAGAAGTCACTCTGAACCCCGCTTTTAACTCCTGTGCCCAGTGTCTTGCTGTGGCACGTACGGCCAACAGAGCGTTGTTCAGATTGAGGCACACAGTGACGTCTAGGGATCCTGGCGTGCTAGTCCCGCTCTACATGGCCTTCGTTCTGCCGTATCTTGAGTAATGCTTACAAGCTTGGTCCCCTACTCTGAAGAAGGACCAGAGGGTTCTGAAAAGAGTGCAGAGGAGATTCACGCGCATGTTCCCGCACCTTCCGGGAGTGACATATGCCGAATGCCTCCAGGGGCTGAACCTGTTCTCACTCAGTCGGAAAAGGCTGAGGGGGGACCTGATTGAAACTTTCCGTATCTTGACGGGTTTCTCTCAGGGAATCTCTTACCTACTTCAGCCGAGCGGTGAAACCAACTGAAGAGGACACAGCATGAAGTTAGACAAGCCATGGGCGTTCAAACGCCTGAGAGCCACCTTTTTCTCGCAACGGGTAATTAATACATGGAAAAAACTGCCGCAGGAGGTAGTGGCGTCACAAACCATTGCCGAGTTCAAGCTGAAGCTTGACGCTTCCTGGGCATCAGCGTTCCCCGATTTTGACACCGGGCCTCAGGTTGCTAATAGCTCGTCCGTCTCCGGGTCCCCCACTTTTAACTCTTTATCTCTTACTCCAATTTGATTTCTTTAACTCCCTCAGCTCCATTTTTTATTCACTGTGCACCACATTTTACTGAAAGTTCTCAACATCCAGCACCACCAATTGTAGGTCATGTTTCTTCTACCAACACACCTTTTACTCTGGGTAGCTCGGAGCGGTTGGTTGCGAGCTGTTGCTTTGATCCTGACAAAACCTCAAACGTGTAGTGCCACTCAGAGAAACCATCAGAAGTGCTTTTCGCTTTTTCAGAACCGTACTCACCTTCGTCTACGTGAACGAAATAATACAATTTTCGCAGCGCTGTTGTTCTCTCAAGCTCATTGGTGCAAGAAACTGGACTGCTTCTGGCTCCGCCGCAAGTCCTGTGATCTGTTCTGTCCTGTCCTGACGAGAAAACGCGTAGAACCCCAATATAGAACACTCGAAGTGGTAGAGGCCAACATGTGGCTCACTAACGAAGTAACTCTGGACGCTCGATTTACCGCGGCCATCTCCTGTCTTGTGCAAACTGACTGACTGACTGGCTGACTGGCTGACCTGAACTAACTTATTTCAGCAGTGCTGGGTGCCCACTCAGTGAGCATACTATCGAAGGAATTCTGTACGCTCTATTGGCCGTGACCATATTCAGACCTGTGCAACCTGACCTGACCTGACCTGAGGTAAACTGATTGTGACTTAGTTCTCAAGGTCATTTTTGTGGCGGGAAAGCACGGTTGGTTTCGCTTCCCTTGTGGTCGCTCTTACTCGTGAGTGGCCTCCCTGCTTCCTTTTTAATTTCGTTGTGTTCTCTTTCGAATCATTAACAGTTATTTTTGATTGTTTTCCTTACAATTTAGCAACCTTAATCAACCAAAATTCTGGACAAAGCGGGAGGAAAATCTACAGCTAGTCTAGAGTCAGCTGGTCGTTCCAACAACTACTCATTTACTTCTTTTCGTTCATCTGAGACTAAGGAAAACCGAGAGTTTGCGCCATCATGGGATGCTGGCTCAACGCTGGCCCCCAAAGTAGACCCCGCGGAGCCTTTTCGTAAAGAAGTTTTATCGTGAGTTTTATTGACTTTGAGTGATTGCTTAGTATATTAAATAAGCTTACTGCAGAAAACTTTGAACAACAAGCCAAAAAATTACTCGATGTTGATATTCGCTCTTCTTCAGTTCTTAATGTCATTGTACAACTAGTAAGTTTCTATTTCAATGTACGATTTCCTTAGATATTTCAAAAAGCTATTAATGAGCCCAAATTCACTTCAATATACGCCCAGTTGTGTTCGATACTTAGTTCTAATGCGCCCAACTTCGAGGTAGACGGTAGTCCGCAATCGGTAAGCATCATCCTTATTGACGCATTCATTCAAACCAGACTTTTCGCATTCTTTTGCTTAAATATTGTGAGAATGAGTTCAAAGCACGCAACCACATTTCCAGCGATTGTCCAGTGGCCCGTCAAAAGTGTCTGGGAAACGTCCGTTTCATTGCTGAGCTTGGCCATCTCTCTCTTGTGCCTGAGAAAGTACTTCATGACTGCGTACGAGAGCTGCTGTCTGGTCGGCTACGGTCGCCTAACAACTCTGAACACGGTGGTGGCTCTGTCTCTCCTGTGGACTCTTCCACCGGTGGAGGAGGTAAGTTTGTCATATTATTTCCCTTCTGTCAGGTTATGGCAAGGCAAGGTTTTCCTCTGATTTTGAGAGATCGGTAAACCTTTGAGTCCAAATACTCTATACTCCATACCGCGTTTCTAACGCATGACGGTGCTGGCATTTTTTTCACTTGGTATGCAGATAACTGAAATCTGGTGGTTTTTAAATGAACCATGTAGAGGTCGTTTCGAGCTGGGTGAGAATATTTGTGGTAAGGTGGGCACTGCAAACAAGTTCGACGTCGTATGGTGGTAAACCATTCCACCATTTAGTGTGGTCGGCTCAAGGATGACTCATTAACACCCTGCTTGTTCGCAAGCCGATGGTAACTATATCATTTTAAACTGAAGCTCAAATAATCGCGGAAGCTCGTTCTTTTTAGCACAAGTTCAAAGGTGATTATACGTTTTACACATGCAATAAAACGAAACTAATACGCATCTTTACTACCGTTTTTTGACAGTCTCGCTCATAATCCGAATCGGTCACTAAGAGGTAATGCTCGTTTCGGTTATCTCTACAGTAAACTCATCCGAGGGTTCATAATGCTACTCACATCAGACGTACGGAGGAGGAACACTTCCCATGCTAGTGAAGGCAAGAAAGCATCATTCTTAATGATTTAGTGCTCTCAGGCCATTAATTATCAAGCCACCGCAAACTAACTTTGTCGTCCGACCCAATAACTCGCCTAACCTAGCGGGTCTTATATGATGCGGCAGTTTCAGCCCCGTGGTTTAGGTTGCCTCGCTGAATCGACAGTGGGTCGTCGTGGCTTTGAGCTTTAGCCGGTTTGTTGTTCATCAAATGAGTGCAATAGAAAAGTATATTAAGACCACAATCCGCCTTCGGACTATTCTATCGTTTAGACTTGGCTTCCCTGATGCAGTGCGCTCACATTAACTACTATGGACGCGGTAGTGGATCACATTTCGGTGCCCTAACTTTCTTCCCTGGCCCCAAGTTGATCAACTTTTCCAACCAACACCAAATAGAAATCGATATCAACCAATTACAAACGCCAGTGCGAGTTTGGCAGCGATCAGTTAAGTTTGCGTCCCTTCATTTAGCTGTATGATGATAACAGTGGTGCCCAACAGTTTAATGCAAACCACACCCCTTTCCTCCTATCTGGAGTGACCTTCACACCATTGGTGAAGGACTGTACATACTAATATCAGGATTATCAATTACAGAAAACAACCGTTCACCTTCAAACTTGTCTTATGAGGTTACAGCGGGTTTATTCGAGAATTATTCAATCAAGTACGCTTCACACGCATGGTCTTCACCGGGACTGACCAAAAATTTTGCTACCCGCGGTAATTCGTTGACAGATATGTTCAACAAATTCGTTATTGAGCACTCAGTTCATTCACTAAAGCATTTCACTCATTGCTTGAAGTGAACTGTGTAACTCAGGTCTTTCATAAGATTCAGGGCAAAACCAGTGAATAAAGTCGACGCAACGCTTCGAGACTTCATGATTACATCCCAACGAAAGTGCTAAATTTCACCTGGTAAATGTGAAGCAAATGACCGTTTGGTCTCGTATTTCTATTCCTCATTGATGTTACCAGCGTGTTTGGTTATGCAATGCGACAGTTAGAGAGTTTCAAATATTACTGATGCAATATGCCGGTCATGATCCTGAATACCCCCATAGCGAGGTCTATCACCAAACTAAGAGAACTTGCCTGTTATAACTAGTGAGGCGCATTGCAGTTAAGCATAACCATTCCTGCTGCGGTCAACTTACCCTGGGTAAAAAAGAGTATACTCTGTAGTTATAAATCTCTAGCTAACACTGAACGCTCATTATGCAATCTTGTCCTCGGACAACCGCATAGATCTTTGTCCTGCTTCATTAGTTTTTTCCTCGGGTAACCGAATGTTTAGTCAAAGAACGGTTACCATAACTTGGATCTTAAGGTAAGGGTTCGTAGACACGAGCTATATTTGAAAGCCTGTCTTGCCTCATAACCCGGAGGCTAGTGCTGAGATGAGCAGGGTCTGTTGCCCGCAACAAGCTCACAAAGATGGGTTGTGCTACATCGGGTAAATGGAAAATAAAAAAACGGTCTGATCAGCCACCCGGTGGTGGGACTTGCCTTCTGCCCATGAAATCCCGGGTTCGACCCCCAGTTTGGTCAATGAATTCACGCACTGCTGATGAGGCCCAACCAGGTCGAAACAGCTGTCCAGTGCTCCCTAGCTTTTCAGTTCACGCTTCATTTGCTTTGACGGCGAATTCACCTTTGGAAATAAATAAAAGTCGGTGCTGTAATTTGTCCTCTGTTTATCACAAATTCTTGGGAACCCCAATTTCAAGGTAATCTTTGCTCACCTCCATCGTCCTCTCTACCTATCTTCACGTTGAATTGTTGCGCGACACATCAACAGAACCAGCTCATATTCTTTTATTTTCACACCTACTGGATTCCTCATTCTACATCCTTTTTCGCACACTTGTGCGATGACAGGTTAAACTCATTTGTCACGCAAACTTAAGTCCTGGGACTTGAAGTAGCAACGTATTGAGCGGGACAGCAGCAAAGCTACAAACTCAGACCACTGAACTCCATTTTCTGTTCGACTCTACCTTCAGCTTTCTTGTCCTATTATTCATCCAAATGGGCAGCCAAGAGACAGCAACCAAAACCGGCGCACGAAAGTGCATGGTTAATGGTTGTTCAAACTGAAACTGAAGTTTCCTACAACGAGATTAGAGTGGCGATGGTAGGCAGTTTTTCAACCCTGAACCCCGGGGATCAAATTGCGAAGTAAATCACTGAATCACCACCTCCCTTGCTGATACCGTCCATCCCACTCCATCAATTGAGAAATTCACGTGGAGGTCATCAGATGACGTTAAGAAGACACATGAACTGCCCTAAACAGTAGGTATC